GGGCACACAATAATATTTTGGTGTGGCATGCATACGATGTCCATCCTTTGGTTTACTATACCAACAGAATAAGGGGGGGGGTTCAAGAATGAGTTATTAACAGTGAATTGTTTTCTAGTCAGCTCAAATTTTAGTTTGCATTATTATTTGATGATTAAAATGATCAAAGTATATTACAGAATAAGCTTTCATTCAAATATTTTATATTTCTGCCTTTCAGTTCTCTATTATATGTTTTTAAAAACATATATATATATATATATATATATATATTCAACTGTCTTTTTTTTTTTTTTTTTTTTAAATTTTCTCTTTCATGGACGCCTTTGAAGGCTTGTTTAGAGACCAAGTTAATGGCCCTTTAAGCTTCCTTCATGTGAACTGCAGTAAAATTTTGAATATGTAATAATTAAATATTACGGTGTCTACCAGAATTTTAGAAATACCAAGGTGGGGCATGACCCAAAATTGGTTGGGAACCACTGGATTTGATGAAAAATTACTTCTTTTGTTCCTTTTTCTTCTGATGCAAGATATTTGCAAAGTCCATATAGATGATATATTTTTTGACATGTTAGTGTATTCTCCTTGTAGACATAATCTTTATAACATTATGATTGTGGGGGGGTCTGCATGCCATGTAATCATGTGAAAGTGATCTATGTCCTGTTTTATTTTAAATGTCTATGTTTGGTGCATTGTTCAATATATTGAGTAAGTTTTTTTTTTTTTTTCCGTCAGGTCTATAACTTAGTGTTGTTTTATGTGGACTATAGTTCCTGTGTTTTTCTATTTGAATTCATTTGGATGTTCAAATCTGTATATCCATGTGTAAGCTTTTAATACTTTTCTGTTAGTCTCCTCATCTTAAAACATCTTGTTATTAAATGTAGTAGCTTCCTCATGTTGTGTTGCAGCAGTTTCCATTTTTTTTTTTTCAAATGCATGACTTTACCAGTGTAGATGTGTTTTTGTGTCTTTATTTATATGCTTGTAATTTGATATTTTTGTTTGCTAGAAATTCCCCCTGATGGCGTTTTATATATGCCAACATTTAATTCTTGTCTAAGCAGAAATAGAATCTTTTAGTCTGGTGATATTAATTTTGTTTCATCACCAATATTTTAATGTATATGCCTAATGAATTGTATTTGTTTATGAATCAACCATTTGGTGCTCCTGCTATGTTCCCCCCCCCTTTTGTTTCTTTCCAAATATGTACTGTTTTTCTGGGTACTACCCCTTTCATGTCTCTTCTTAAATGTCTGTTAGGTGGATTTGCCATTATTTTTTCATAAGCTATGTCTGCGAAAGTTGCTTGTTCTACTGCCTTATAGCTTATAGTTGGTATTTTTTGTGAGTATTGCATTCATTCATAGAAGCATTCTAATTCTACCATGTATGTAAGGTTGAAATTGAAAAATGATGTTCCTATGGCTCCATTTGGTCGTATTATTGGTATTGGTGGTACATGTATTAGAACTATTTCTGGTGTGTCTTTTGCTGTGTATAATACTTTATTTATTACTGTTCTGTTTGCTACTCTATATTGTCCGCTTGTTTGCTAGTTGCTGTCTTGTAAACCTTCTTTTGGATCATTGTCCTTTTACCTTTATTTCCTGGTCTTATTCTTTGGTGATTGAATGATATGTTTGCAATTTCAGTTTGATTTAAATCTTCCATTATTTCCGTTCTCATGGTTTACCTGTTGCCATGTTTTCTTCCGTTTTTTCAGTATTTCTTCCATATTTAGGAGCTGTGCCTACATCTAGTCCATGATCCCAGTTTGTTTGTGCATTATTATCTATCATATTTGATACGCTTAATATTGCTCCTGTAGCTATGTCTGGTGTGTATATGTTTCTTAATGGTTTTTTCCCATATGTGTACAAAGTTATCTCCTTTTCTAATTAAATGTACATTGTTCATTTCTCGCCAGCCAAGTAAATCTGTCATTTGTATGCGTGTTGATAAGTTATCTGCTATTATTGCTCCTGAATTGGGTAATTGATTTAAAATGCAACCGGTGCTCTGTATCCATATGTGTATGTTTGGTAGTTCTGCTATCATAAGTTGGATTTCATTTACTTGTTTGGTATTTTGCTTATTTTTATAAGATTACCATACCCTATGTAGAGTCATATGTCTAGGTATATGTTGAAGTATGATTTTGGGTTTGGTATGAAAACTCCCTTGTACTTTTTAGATGTCCATTCTTTGCATATTACTTTATCTCTTTGGAAACCTAGTTTTTTGTTTTACTCTGTAACTAGTTGCCTTTTGTAATGAATGTTCCCATTGTAATTGTCTTACGCAAGTAGTTAACCCGTATGGAAGTATGTAATCTGCCGAGTTAGTGTTTCCAGCAGTAGTGACCTCTATTACGGATCCCTTTTTCTCTTCCTCTATATTTCGTGAAAGTTGTTTGTACACCATTCATGTCTTATTTTTATCATGTTTTTGAATTTTCTTTTGAATAATATGTTTGTGTGTCATTGTCAGTTTTTTCTGGTAGATGACCACCTGTATTACATCTCCTCCATCCTGAACCTAATTTGCTCTCTCCATTTGATGTTTCATTTGCCATGATTTCAATATTACTCGTGTTGTTAGTATTAAATCTCAGTAACAGTCATGGAAATATCTTGGAAGTAGTTGTTGAGTCTGAGCAATGATTTTCTTTAGAGAGTCCTGTATGCAATACTTCAGATAAGTCCTGTGTCCTTGCTGTCTCTGTAGAATTGTTCATCAGCTTCTTTTGTTTTTATGTTTGATTTTCCATAGTTGATGTCATGCAATTTTGCAGCTTGGTCTAATTTATTATGTGCCGTTCCATATTTTAATCTTCTTATGTCTGTTCCTGATCCTAGGAAGTTGTAACCTGGGATGGTGAAATTAAGCAGTTTTCTCTAAATGTGGCATTCTGTATAATGGGGGCATAATTAATGTAAACATCCATTTTCTGAAAATTTTAAATCTTAGTCAAAGTTAATTAATAGTAGCACTTATTTTTTCCTGTCACAGGAACATAATCACTACGTATAATGCTATAAATGACCGGGTACCTAGAGACAATGAAATTAAACTGTTCTTGATATGTGATTATGTTATCAGCTTTTCTTTCATATTATGTTTTTTTTTTTTCCTCACTAAAACCAAATAGTGTCTCTGCAAGGAAAAGTCCATTATTCATCTGAGGCAATGGCAGAGTTTAAAGTATATGCTTACTAAAGGAGCAACAAGCAGAATTATGACAATTGCTAATTGTAGGAATAAAATGCACAATTTTTTTTTCTATAAACAACTTAAGATTTTGACTCGTATACAAGTTGCTAATTTTTTGCACAAAAACAATTTTTGTGCAAAAAATTAGCAGCTTGAGTTGCTTAAGATTTTTGTATACTTGTATCTGGTAAACAGAAAAAAATCATTTTTCAGGGTTTATTCTTGAATAAAGTAGAAAATCTATTTAGTAACTCTTTTCAGTTGATTTTACTTTTTTTATTGCTTTTAGTTTGGTGGAGTTGAGATTTAGTCAAATCTGTGTACAAGTGTTTATGAAAAAAAAATCATTGATATTACATAACTGGTTCACTTATAAAAAAAAAAAAATTTTTTTTAGGTGGGAGATAATTTTTGTATACTAGCATTCATTAAACCTTCCTTTGTCCAATATTTTTTTTGCAAATGCTGTGGGTAAAGTATAACATTCCTATCTGAAAAAAAATCAGTGTCAAAAAGAGGTTTGTCATTTGACACTAGTCTTACTCAACACCCTTACAAATTTTTATTGTTTTAAAAATTTTAATAAAGCCCAAACATGATTTTCTTGAGAATTGATAGAAAAAGTATTACATCCTAGTCTTGTAATAAAACAGATCAAGAGAGATGGATAGAAATTGAGATGGATTAAAATAGTCTGTTTCTGTCTATCTCAGATAAATTTATTAAAATAGTCTGTTTCTATGTGGTAGGAACAAATGAAAGAAAAACTTTACAGTTACCCATAGTAAATTTTCATGTTCCCAGATACTTTTATGAATAAATAATTTTTTTCATATTTATTTCTTTATAAAATGTTAAATGATGCATTAGTTTGTTCACATATTTAATAAACAATGTAATAAAAGAGAATGCATAAATCTGGTTTCATATTGAATTTCATTAAAATCATAAAAATAGCTTTTTAAGACGATAAAGATTACTCAGGTAAATGTGCAAATTACCTTGGAAAAGGTATGAATAATCACCCCCCAGCTATGGGGTAAATAGTAAGACATCTGGCAAAATCACTTAATTTAAAAAAGATTAATACAATGTTCACTTGCAAATTATATATATATATATATATATATATATGTGTGTGTATAGGATAAAATATGGTATGCTATATTTATGGCTTAAAGTACTCAATATCAGGGATAGAAATATAAAAGTGGACATTGTCACTTCTGGGTGTTGACTTCAGTCTGTTTAATGCTATATACAATTGTCAAGCCATTTACATTTAGATTGTTACTTCTGGGTGTTGACTACAATGTTCATATATATATATATATATATATATATATATAATTTTCTCTTTTTATCTTCTTTGTAAAGAAGTAATGCATTTTTTTATTGATATGACAGATTTTATCACTTTAGATATTATTTTAGTGGATACTCATATTCAAACAGATGCTCTGTTTATTTATTAAACAGTATATTCATTTATTTTTATCTATCAGACAGAATATGAGAAATCTTATTAAAGAAAAGCATACTGTCTCCAGCATGATTCGAACCTGTGCCCCTGTTTGTAGGAGAAACCATTGTTAAATCCAATAAATAATGTTTAAGGTGATAAAATATATATATTCTTACAATAATGAATGTTTAGATGTGTAAAACTCTAAATAACCCACAAAAGGGTTGATAAGCCATAAAAAAAAAATTTGGCCAATCACTCAGGTAAGCAATGGCCTAAAATTTTACTGTTTGTTTTGGGTTTTTTTCAGTTGGTTGAAAGAAATTTGGAATGAAGAAATTTCACCTGCAATTTACCAAACAACAGTTGCCAACCATTCTGTGATGAAAGAGAACATTCCTGGCAGTAATTTTGAGAAAGTGGCTCACAAGGCATTGTACATTTTGTTACAAAGATCTGTCTCATCAGGATGCCCTCTGACTGGTCAAGGTGAGTTTGTGTAACTAATTAGAAAATAAGTTTAACTCTTTATTTTTCTGCCAAAAATTTAAATGCAATGTCAATTGTTATCTTCTGTTTTAATTCCTAGTCTTTTATCATTTTCTCTTTCTTTAATATTATTTTTTTTTTCTTATATTCTCTAATACTCAGTAATCCCTTGTGTTTTAGTGGCTTTATTGCCTTGCTTGGGGTCAAATGAAGAAAAAAACAAAAATTTAAGAACCAGTGAGTTAGGATGGTACATTTGTCAGTACAATTAGTTCCCGTAAATGGAAATTACTTATGAAAATTAATAAATGATCCTTTTTTTATATCTCAAAAGTTTACAAATGTAACTTTATACACTGCTTATTAAAAACCCAAGTTTAGTATAGTGTGTGTTTTTATGATCATTTTTTTTAAAGAAAAAAAAAAAAAAAGAAAAAATAGGGGTGGGTGGGGTCACACTATATAAAAAGAAAAATAGGGGTGAGTGGATCACACTATATAAAGATAATTTCTTCTTTTTTCAACAGGTTAAAAATCATGTATTTTGGTGACTGGTTTCACTATATGCAGATCAATTTTCTGAAAGGGGTTAAAATAATTCAGATTTTTGCAGTCCACATTAGGTCGGCTTATACATAAGTATTTATGGTATGCGATTTTATAGCATATTTACTTCTCTATAATAGTCATATAGTGATAAACCAGTTTTTCTTCTATTCTGTAAAGATTGATTTATCTGTTTAATGGCACATCAACATCTTACGAGTCATTTAATCTCAAAATTTAAATTTCTTGGGAGCTTTGAAGTAATAAAAATAATATATGTTATTCTGCTTTCACAATTGTGAATACATGGTAGATGATACTCAGCTTCATGTTTGTGTGGACATGGTTACTAGAGGTGGTGATATGTGTATTTTATGTTGTTTTGTTAGAGTTATATTTTGGAATAGAGTTAGATGTCTTTAAAAAATTGTAGGATATTATATAAACTAACTAATGTCATAAAAGAGTTCTTTCATGTTGGCGGTTTGGTAATATTTTAAATGGATTTGGGTGAAGTCGCTACAGTTTGTTAGTATGTGTGCATTATTCACTATAAATATGTATTGTTGGTAATTTTGCTATAAAATGTATTTTATATTTTCATAGTATTTTTTTTTTTTTTTTTTGGAGGGTTCACTTTGCTCATTACTGGGACCCTAACAGGTGCTACAACCCTGGGTCAGGGTTGAGCTGGGAACAACAGTAATTAATAGCTAATTCCACACTCCTGGAAACCTCCAATCTCCAGATCAGAGGCCTTGCTGCCAAATGTAATTTTTTTTTTTTTTTTTTGTTATAGAGAAAACTTCTTACCTGAAGGAATTTAATGGCCATCATAATTCCGAGGGATTTACGAAGACTTATCAAGCAGAGCAACGATTCCCTGCCTCTTCAAACCAGCAGGAGCATCCATTTTGTCACACATCCCACATCACACCTGCTTGTGTGACGACAACGACAACTACAGCTTCAAGCACTTCACCTTTGTCTCCATGCTCACCAAATGCTACTTTCTCAACTTCAAGCTGTAATGGAAACACAAACGAAGAAAAGTAAGTAAAGAAATTTACTTTTTTTCATGAATAAAACAGGAAATTAATCAAAAGCAACCAACAATTTTTTTTTGTTTTTTTAAATTCATTGTAGCAAGTCACCTAATGAGCCTGGACCAAGGCTGGAATAGCAGAGTGCTCAGTAAGTACTAAACTGACTATCTCCTAACCTGTCAAATAACAAAAAATGGGAGTGCTCATCTAGACAACCACTTTTCAAATAATACAAACTGGCTTAATTTTAAACCAGCTCTTTGCATCCAATCAGAGACAAAAAAATAAGAAATATTTTTCTTTTTACAGTGAGGTTCACCCTGTACAAGGCTTGGGAGCTACTTAAGGCAGCAGGTTACAGGGTAAGGGGTACAGTTTATACAGTTAGGTGGGGAAGATAATAGTTAACCCTAGACTTGAACAGGTTAGAATTGTAGTGATTGAGGAAAAAATCCTCTTGGGAGTCAGTTCCACTGGTTCACAGGAAGAAGCTGCTTGTGTGGAACTTACTTCTTACCTATAGAATACAGAAGCAATAAGGGTGGTTCGCTATCATGTGTATAGCATGACAAGACCTGACTGTAAAAGTTAGAACTAGCAGAACTAAAGAGAGTAGTTTGACCGAGCACTTTCCATGGAAGTAGCGATAGAGCAATGAGAGGCACGTCACATCCTGCCTGTGAGAAAGAGAGGTTGCAGAGTGGAAAATAATTTGTCATGCACAAGGACTCTGAGATGCTTTTGGACACTATCAATACAGGAAAGTGAGGTCTGGACAGCTCCAATCCAAATAGGACAACAGTACTCCATTTTAAGCCTGGTCTGGCTTTTGTAAGATATAGGGATAGCACAAGGAGTCAGGTACTTACAGTACAGAGAACCGAGCATTTTTCCTACATCTTTAGTAATGGATCATATATACAAGTTCCACTTGAAGTCAATGTTGGGTTTAAGGTCTCTTGAGGCAAGGAGACTCCCCAAGGCAGCCATTCATCATGATTGGTGGTAGTTCGATTGGGAGTGATTTAATATAACTAGTTTGGTTTTCAAGGCATTGAATATTTCAAGAAAAAATAAAATAAATATTGCACTCACCCAGTATAGCTGACATTTTTTTTTTGTTCACCCAATACAATGTCCAAGAGCCACGCAAGGTAGAGGGTTACTGAATAAGGTGGTTGTATGGATATAAGAGAAGGAAGTACAAATGACAATATAGAGGATAGATAAAAGTAACTTGTGATTGCTACAAAGTAACAGTTTTCAGAAAGAAGCTGTTTGTGTGGAACTTCTTCCTTACCAATGGAATACAAAGTGAATGGGGAAGAGTCAACTCTGTGGCAGGGTGGATTTTAGTTAAGGAATGCAGATCATCTGGATATTTTCCATGGAAACATGGCTTGCAATGTTTTATCTGTTAAATGGGACTGTAAAATAAATAATAAACTATATAAAATACATTATTTTTTATCCATAACATTGAATGGGTTAAAATTATTAAATTTTTTAACAAGAAAAATCTCAAGTTGATATTAAAAATAGCTGCAAAACATTGATTTATTATGACATGTCTTATTTGACTCAGTGACAATGTCAAAAGAATAAAAATGTATCATGTAAAAGACTGGCTAGCAGGGCCTACAAATACTAATCCTCTCCGAATAGGGGAGGCCTGATTGGGGGCCCCATGGCAGTGCTTTGTGACCCTCACTATGTTAACAATATTTGCTTTTTTTGCATACTTAAATTTATATACATTACAAATTAAACTAAACACAATTGACTATTAAAGAATGAAAACATTTTGCAGATTCTGACGTCATTCTTTGTTTTTTGACAAACCTGTTAATTTGTTTTGCTCATGGTAAGTTTTGATAAAACACGATATAAAATTCACCATTTTTTTTTTACCCATAATGTTGAATGTGTTAAAATTTTTCAGCTAACATGAAAAATCTCAAGTTGATATCAAAAATAGCCACAAAACATTGTTGATTTATTTAAGATGGAATGATCTATTATGAGATGTCTCTAATTTGTATTTAGATAAATTGTATTTTCAATATTTCTAGTTGAATTGTTCACCTATATTGCATATGATCCATTACTGTACATTATTAGGTTAGAATAAAATTTGTATTTTATATGAATACTAGCTCCTGAAAATTGAGATGTACTAGAGTGGGGGACCCTGTATCATAAATTGGGGAGGTTACACCAAACCCTTGCCTTGGTCAATGATTCATTTTTTTTTCCCCCCCGATACTTTGTAAATTATCCTACTTAAAAAGTATTCATTTCACCATTTTTTTTTCTTTCTTTCTTTTAGGGACTTTGCTGATTTGAAGAATCTGAACATCTTCAGTTCCAAACGAAGCCTCCCAGAATCAACGTTATTGAAAAAAGCCTGTGACCAATTAAAAGATCCTATGGAGACAAATGAATCTTGCCCAAAGATGAGGAAACTTGAGATCAGATCTCCCAAATCAATTTTTGATCCAAGCAACAGCAACAGCAGCAGCAGTTCTTTGCCTTCTTCCAATTTTTCTGCCTCAAACATCCGAACAGGCCTTAGTTGCTTCAAAACAAAATCGGCCAACAGTATTAGTGGTAGTAATGTTGACAACAATAACAGCAAACCATCTGATTCCAGGAATTCTTTCTCTGATGATCCTCTCCCGAGTCCGAGTGAAAGAAGCAAACGAAATCCAAGTTCTTTCACTTTTTCGCTGGCCTCTCCATCCCCAACTCTCAATTCTTTCAAGTTTGTCGAAACTAGCCCCCCAGTGAAACTTGCATTGAGTTGCGAACAGCGAGAACGGCAGCAGCAGCAACCAGCACCTGTTGACATCCAGTTGGTTCCTGCAGTTGACAATTCTACTTCTGCGACTGCCATGGAGACTGTACAGCCCCCCACAAAACTCTGCTAATCCTTCAACTAAAACCTAATCCTGATCCCCCAACAAGATTTTTTTTTACTTGTAAAATCTGACTTTTCGATCTTTTCTTTTACTATCTTCCTCTTGATGTCTGTTTAACTCCAAAATTTCAATGGAGTTTCAGGTGCTGTTGGAAAGTTGATTTGGGCTGAATGCTTATCCTGAGAGTTTAAGTGTCAGTGAGGTAATCTCTAATGGTATAGTGTTTTTCTAAGTATAGCTTAAATGTTGCATATGGCTGGAGGATTGGGCACCAAGTGAGGATCAAACTCACTAGATCAATTATGCCTGATTAGAGAGATAAGCTTGCTAACTATAACACCACATCAAAGTGCCCTTCTCTCTGATGGCATGGAAATCGAGTGATAATAGTTTAGAAAAAGTAGGGGGAGTATGATTTCTTTTTGAGTGAGATTATCCAAACCACTGACATCATCTTGGTTGTTATAGCTATAACTCTAACCAGAGCCAAAACTCCATCAAATGAGAACATGATTAAGAACTGCATGTACAGCCAGCCAGCCATGCAGTTGTGGCAGGGAATACAATATAGTTTGTTGAGATACTATGAAATCAGGTATGGCTGATCATGTGTGGAGAGGGGTATGGTGACCAGCCCCTGTGAAACAGTCTGAAAAATAGACAAAGCCTCATTGGAGCAAAACCTCCTTAAACAGCTCATATAGAATTGAAGAAAAAACTATAGGAAGTGTTGTTTTTTTTTTTTTTGTTAGTGGAGAGTGGGGGTTCTGGAAAGAACAAATATTAGGTTTAAACTCAAAATAAAAAAAAAAAAAAATACCTGATCTATTGGATATTTCAGTGGAATCAGAAGCATCATCACAATGTTTTAAAAATGAAGAGAGTTATCTCCCCTAGGCAAATATCCGAACTGGCCTGAATTAAATATTCCCTAGATTCCAGCTATATTTGATTTTTAAAAGCTGGAATATTTAATTCAGGCCAGTTTGGATATTTGCCTAGGGGAGATAACTCTCTTCATTTTTTAAAAATCAAAAATAGATGTTAAACAAAATATTTCAAGGATAGATATTTAACATCTGCTTAGTAGTTAAAGTAGATGGACACTTCCCAGTAAAAACGACTTCATGAATATTAATTTCACAGTCCTTCTCACTCAGCCCCAGGAAGTCATAGTAATGTATGATTTTAGAAATTTCGTGGGGAGGGGCGTCATTTTAAAAAAAAAACAAAAAAAAAAAATGAATAATGTAGGGCTTAATTCAGTTTATCAAATTGTGATACATTTTACAAAAAGTCAAAACCCTAATTTATAATAAATATACATTTCTCCCCTCACTGTTAACATAACAATGCAATCATCAGGTGTTGACTGAAAACTGATGGTTGCATAAAGTAAATATTGATATTTATACCATACTGTAATGATGATATATACACACACATACTTGTATGTGTGTGTTTTAAATATAATACAAATTTGTACACAAATATCAGGACATGTTCACACAGCTATATTTGTGTGTATGTGTATGTATATATATATATACACACACACTAGTATGAGAATATATAGTAAAAACAAGAAGTAAATGCCAAAATGTTTATAGTACATTTAGTGAATATATTTATATAAAAAAAAACCTTAGAATCATGCTTAGAAAGTACAAAGGATACATTTTGATCCTCCTCAAGGAAAAATTTGTAATAACACATGATAAATGGTGACCCTGTTGCAAAATAATGTATCAATTAAATTTGGTTGACATAATATTTTTGGTTTAAATATTAATTCAGGAACTAAGCCCTTACTGAAAAAGGTATGAGGCAGCAAAAATAAATTTGAATGCTGAGAATACCATAGACTGAACATGTGTATAATGAGAGAGTTTTAAGGATAATGGAAACAAAAAGGATTCTTATACTTAGAATCAGGACGTGAGAGTTGAAATTTCTAAGGCACATAATGAGAAAACACAGCTTGGAGAATGAGACACTCACAGGACATATTGAACAGAAGAGGAGGGGAAACAATGTAACCTATGTAACAAACGTGGGAATGGTGGAAAGACAAAACTAAAAAGGATAGGAAGCTGTGGTGAACCATGATTGCTAATGTCCTGAAGTGATATGGCACATAGAAGAAAAAAAGATGTGATATTAGTAATATAAGATAAAAAATACGAGACTAAATTTTACATACTGTCAATGATGACCAATTCGAGGGTATGTAGTTTTGGGTCTTTCTTTCTTCTCCCCTCATAGGTCAGGCATTTATATAACTTATTATTGAGTTGTTTTATGCATATATAGCCTAAGCTCAGCTGGATTCAGTTCTTCATATTTGTGGCATACCCCAACATTGGTTGAGACCCAATTCTGCATTAGGTGACTATGAGGCCATCTTTTAGGCCAAACCTCAAACCTTGTTTGACATTCTGAAATGACACCAAGTACAAAGCATATTTGGTATCTCAAAGTGAACTAGGTACATATTGGGCTCATCAAAAATTCCCCAATGGACATTAAACACAATTCATACCTCTGGTATTTTGGGGTGTGAATCATACTATATATATAGTATGAACTTTTTTTTTTCCCTTTATTTAACTAATTACAGGACAGTTTCATGATTAGTGATTTTTCAAAGTGGGTGGTTGTTTATTAATAGTGTTTGCAATACTGTAAATAAGTAAATTATATAAAAAGCTTAACGGAATTTAAAATAGAACACTGTTAGATATACAGGAAAAGGAATAGATTATTTATCTCACACACAAACACTAATTTATTCAGGACTTCCGAAATGACAACATTTATTAATATTTTACTCTGAGAGGTGCAAAGACACCTCCCAGAGTACAATATTAATAAATACCTGGTGTCACCACTACAAAGAAGATAATACTTTAAAAAAACAAAAAGTAGCATATATTTAAATGTATTATTTATTAAGAAGAGCTTAGTCTGGCACAAGGTCAAGAAAAGAGGTAAACATTGGCTTACATAAGTTTATATCCAAATTACTGGATAAAAAGCAGAGATTTACTGAAACACTGCGATGCTTACCTTTTTGATGAGTGTACAGTCCAAATATCACTTTTCCAATTCCACAAGATTCTTTGAAATTTTTTATTTTTAAATATTTAAAATGTGATGACTGAATCCAAAATGTGCATCAGATCCTCTTTTCTAATTATTACTTTCAATTCTTGTTTTTTAATTTTTCATATCTTTGGACAGCTCTCCAAGACCATAAAATAGTCTGTCATGTAATGTGCTAATAGGGACCATAGCTGATTTAAATTACACTGCAATGTAAACAGCTTTTGCTCCTCAACAGAAAACATTTTCACTATTTTATAATGTTTGTTTGTTTTTTTTTTAGAGCTGTCTAAGTATAGGAAAAAGAAACTTGCCTAAAAAAATCCCAATCTCTTACATTTAATGATCATGCTTGAAAGGGAACCAGTTGCCTAAATATTAATATTTTCTGTGTACATGTCCAGAAAGTTGGACCCAATTTTGATAAAAATTGAATGACCACTGTGATTTAAAAAAAGCAAAAACAAAATGAGAAGTTTTGTTAGATAACCTGAAAAATTGGAATGTAAAAATTGCTTTTGATTAATTAATATTAATTGCTTCCCAATTTTTACCAGAAATTAAGCAAAACTTTCTGGACATCACATATATATATATATATATATGGAGGAACATGCTGGACTGTAAAGAAAAAAAGGTTTTGTAAATTCTTTTTATCTGTGAATTTTTGTTTGTTACATTTCTGTATATTTTGGAGTTTATTATTAATATTATGAATTTTTGAGGAAATGATTTCACAAAGCAATGAATGTCACAATTGAAACACATTTTGTGGTTGGTGCATCTGTACAATAAAAGCAGTTGCTATCAGTCCATGATAGGAAGTTGGGAAGAGAAGACTATCTAATCACTTACCTGCTAAGCGAAGAAGCTTATAAACAGAAGGAAACTCATTTATGTGCCTCCATAACTAGCGAGTTCTACAAACAGGATTGTTATGTAGGAGAGAGCAAGGGGATAAGACTACAAAGTGTCTAGCCATCATTAGCTATGAATAGCATAATATATTTTTTTTTTTTCTATTTCAACTCCTTAATCACAATAATCAATCTCAAAAGAGAGAAATAAAGTACTTTTAAAAATAACTTTGGACAAAAATTCATAAAGTTTGAAAAAAAAAAAAAAATGGAAAATATATAATGTAAGATGCATGCTAGAGTTCACGGAAAAAAGGTAGAATAACACAAAGACATGAATTTTTAAAAATTAAGTTAACTTTTTATATGCAAGACATGAGTGAAAGGAGACAAATAAAAAAAGGGTTTACTTTTAACACCCCCCCCCTGCAAAAAAAAAGCTACTGTACGACCCATAATACAGGTTCAGTTCCTCTTAAGAATGCATCAGGCATGTATTGTCCTCTGTGAGAAGTCAAAAAAAAACTGTTTTCACCAACAGGCTGTAACATAACTCTCAAAAGCCTCTTAAGACATCAATAAATTCTTCCTGTTAAAAAGGAGATAACTGCTTTCTGTATCCATACAATTTTAGGTTTGCTTCCAGAACTCAGGATTAAAGTTCAAATCCCACTGAAGTTTACTTTATTTCCATTTTACACAGGTTGTTTTAATGGTTACAGAGTGAAATAACACAGGATTGAGATTTAAAAAAAAAAAAAAAAAAAGAGTAAGATGAATTAAACTAAATAGTGAAATAATATTAATAATAATGAGTTAGTGTTGAGATTAGAATAATATTACATTAATATTATTGAGATTACAATATTAAGCAGGGAGAAAACAGATAGTTAAATATTAAAATAATTTAACCTTGAAACAGTAAGAAAAAGATGAGACAAACATGCATGTTAAACAAGTAGAAACAGAAAATTCATTTTTAGTGTTGGTGTGGGGGGTAGGTTTTATGCTTTCATTATACAGGGTGTGGCAGTAATACCTCCCACA